TATGTTGATGAAGAGGGGAGAATATTAATGGTGGAAATTACATGGAACCAAAAACCAATATTGATGATTGCAATATATGCTTCCAATGAGAAACAAGAGCAATTTTTTCAACAATTATATGATAAACTAGTGGACTTAAACTATCATAATCTTTAATGCAGTTGTTGATGCAGTACGAGATTACAAAAGCCACGAACAAGGAAAAAAAGGGAGAAATATTTTACCTAAGCCCTTCTAAAAAATGAAAGATGAACTCTGTATACAGGATATATGGAGAAAGATGAACCCAGAAAAAGCACAATATACTTTTTACTCAGATAGGCATAAATCGTGGTCAAGAATTGATATGATATGGACTTCCTATGATTTGAAGACTATGATACAAGAGGTTGAAATATAACCAAGTATTTGGGCAGACCATAATCCAATTAAAATGACTTGGAAAGGATTTAGGAAGAAACTAAGATGGTCGTTGAATAAATCTATATTGAAAGAAAAAGAATTTCTACAGTTAGCAACAAAAGAAATGGACTTTTTAAAACAAATCAACAAAAAAAAAGAAACCTCTATGCAAAATGTATGGGACATGGCAAAAGCATATTTTAGAGGTTTGGCTATAACTTATGTTGCTAAAAAGAATAAAGAATAAAGAAAAGAAACAAACAGCGTACCATATATGCCGGCGTAGAAGGCGACCCGGCGTATAAGAAGACCCCCGACTTTATCGCCGAGCTGCATTCCTAGAACGTCATCTTATATGCTGGAAACTACCAGTATTTCCGGCGTATAAGACGACTCGGCGTATAAGACGACCCCCGTCTTTGGCGCCGATTTCAGCGCTCGCGGAAGTCGCCTTATACACCAGCATATACAGTAGATTGAAAGAACAATTTAGCCATTTGAAATCTGAGTTACGAATTGATCCACAAAAGAAAAATTTGAAGACACAAATGGAATTAATAAAACACAAATTAAACCTACTTGAGATGGATATAATGGCACAACAGATTAAACAAGCCAAACAGAACTTTTTTGAAAATGCCAATAAACTGGGAAGATGGCTTGCATACAGATTGAAAAAAGAGAGAGAAAAAAGATTAATAAGTAAGTTACAAGACTCAAAAGGCGAGTTACACTGCCATAATGATGCAATGAAAACAATTATTAATTGTTTAATTAATTAAACAATTAATTAATTAATTATTATGAGACACTTTATAAGGCAGAGGTGGTATCCAAAGGTGGTATTCAGGATAATTTAAAATAGTAATAGTAATAGTAGTAAAGTTGGAAGGGACCTTGGAGGTCATCTAGTCCAACCCCCTGCTCAGGCAGGAAACCCTACACCATTTCAGACAAATGGCTGTCCAGTCTTCCAAATCTTCCAAAGGTCCCTGAGAATGTGTGACAGAGGTTAAATGAGAAGATATCAATGATGGAGATTTCAGAGGAAATAAAAAGGCAAAAGAAAAATAAAACACCGGGATCTGATGGACTCCCTGCAGAATTCTATGTAGCCTTACAAAACATTCTAACTCCAATTTTGAAAGACTTGTGTAATGAAATCTTTAGAGAGACAAAAATACCGAATTCATGGACTGAAGCTAATATTACTTTGATATCCAAAGAAGATACTTACACAAATTAAAAACTATAGACCAATATCGCTATTAAATGTGGACTACAAAATCTTTGCTGCAATAATGGCGGAAAGAATGAAATTTTTTTTGACTGAATTTATTCACTCAGACCAAAACAGCTTCCTGTCTAAAAGACAGATAAAGAACAACTTAAGGATTATTTTAAATGTTCTGGAATATTATTAAAAGCACCCAGGGAATCAGATGGCACTCATATTTCTTGATGCACAAAAAGTTTTTGACAAATTGGCAATTTATGTTCCAACAGTTACAGGAAATGGATTTTGGTGAAAACTTTATAAAAGTCATTCAAGCAATTTATAAGAAACAAACAGCAAGAATACTCTTAAATGGAGATTATACAGATGGATTTGACATCAAAAAAGGCACCAAACAGGGATGTCCATTGTCCCCTTTATTATTTATTCTCACATTGGAGGTGTTGGCTAGAAATATTAGACAGGATATAGAAATTAAAGGATTGGAGATTAAAAACCAGAAATACAAATTACAGGCCTTTGCGGACGATTTGGTTTTTATTTTAGAGGAGCCACTGGAAACAGCTGTTAAGCTTTTGCAGAAAATTGAGAAATTTGGAGAAGTGGCTGGTTTGAAAATAAATAGGGAAAAGACTAAAGTACTAACAAAAAATCTAACAGAGAAACAGAAAATTCAACTTGCCAAAAAGACAAATCTTCAAATAGTTAAAAAGTTAAATATTTAGGTATCCACCTAACCGCAAAATGTACAACATTAAAAGAGGATAAATATGAGAAATTAATGAAACAAATAAAAATAGATTTGGAAAAGTGGGGAAATCTTCAACTATCACTGTTAGGAAGAATAGCGACTGTCAAGATGAACATTTTACCAAAGCTAATTTTCCTATTTCAAACAGTTCCTGTTTAATTAAGCAAGAAGTTTTTTGATGGTTTAAATGCAACAATATTAAGATTTATATGGCAAAGAAAGAAAGCAAGAATTGAAAGTAAACTGTTACAAGACTCTAAAGATAGAGGGGGCTTTGGACTCCTGGACTGGAGACTTTATTATGAAGCAGCCATTTTGCTTTGGCTTAAAGAATGGATTACATTGAGAAATAAATGACTTTTTTATTTAGAGGGACATGATCTCCAACTAGGTTGGCATGCCTTTATATGGTACGAGAAATCTAAAGCACATAAATATTTTCTAAATCATGCCATAAGAAATATATTGCTTTCAGAATGGGAGAGAATCAAACACAAAAATGTATACAAAAATACCGGAGTGGCTTTCAACAATGGAAGCATTTGTGTACCCAAACTTAATTAACTATGACAAACTTGTTAGTTATAAAGATCTTTTGGATAAGGATGGAAAACTTAAAGACAGACAGGCCCTTCAACACCAAGGTATTGATCTAACATGGTGGTCCTATTTGAAAATCCAAATAAGGTATGAAAAAGATATAAAATCAATAGGATTTTATAAAGAGCAGTCTCCACTGACAAAATATTTTTAAAAACAGATGAAAACTTGATTAAGAAACTATAAATTTCTGCTAAGCTGGAAGATGGAAGAAGAACAAGTAAAAGAAACAATGATGGTATGGGCAAAGAATTTTGGATATTCTATAGACTTAGAACAATGGCAAAAACTTTGGGACAGAAACATTAAACTAACTAAAGCAACCTCATACAAAGAAAACTTATATAAAATGTTTTATAGATGGCATATGACACCAGTTCGATTAGCTAAAATGTTTAAAAATGTATCAAATACTTGTTGAAAATGCAAACAAAAGCCAGGCACTTACTATCATGCCTGATGGATATGCCCTAACGCAAAGCAATATTGGTTTAAGATTCATAGATGGCTGGAAAAGATGATGAAAATACAGATAGAATTTAAACTGGAATTGTTTTTGCTAGGAATATTAGGATCTAATTATGGTAAGGAGAATGATTATTTAATACTACATGTTTTAATAGCTGCTAGAATAGTATTTGCCCAATTCTGTAAAAATGAAAATCTACCATCTGATCAGATTATAATTACCAAAATTTTAGAATGTGTAGAAATGGATAGATTAACCTTAGAGATGAAAGAGAAAGAAGATTCAATTTTAAAACTTGGGAAAATTTTATCAATGATTAGAAATACAACAGAATGAGAAAAGAGCTCGAAATTAAATAGAATATATGGTTTTAGGTTTTTCACTAAACTTTATTCTTTCTGTTAATAATAGCGTTACTAGTAGTGATTCTAGACACTAATGGAGATAGTTAGAATTAGTTTTATATTTTATTAATTAAGGTTATTTACTTAAAGGAATTGTATTTACTTATTAATTTTTAATTAGATGATTATAGTTAACTCTATTTACTATAACTGTTTAGTATTATATAAGCTAGGTTTATTCAATATGTATATCCGGACGGTAGTTTGCTTATTAAAGCATGAGATTATTGTTGGGGGTTACCCCATTATTGTACCTTTCCCTAACCCTAACCCTATCCTATCCTTAATTCCTTACTCCTATCCTTTTCCATAACCGTATTTACACCATCCTGTCCCTACCCTATAAAATTTAATAAAATATTTATTAAAAAAAGAAGATTCAACAGCAGAATCTGTCTCTTTCCAGATCTGATCAGAAGAAGTATTAGAAACTGCCACTTGTTATTGGACTTCCCTCATCACCATCCATTCCTGCTATCTTTAACTTAACATGTAAGAATTGAAAGGAAACCATTTTGTAGTAGAAGGCTTACCTGCCACGGCTGTACAATCTGGAATGTCTTAACATCCCTAACAGGCAGCTCCTCTTACTCATTTGGGAGGAAAAGGCAGCACTGAGGATCCTGGCCACAACCTGGGTAGTGGTGGAAATACTGGAGCCATCCTCAGACAGGATTCTTTCAACCAGATCCTGGGGTGGGATTTCCCAGGACTCTTTTTCAAGGCATCTCTTCCAAACTTTCTTAGACAACAAAGGACTTGAATAAGAACACTGAAATGCTGCCTCCCCAAACTGCATAGTAGCAGAGTAATGTGAATTAAAATCATAATACTGGGTCCTATTTTTTGTCTGACTTGAGAAGGATAGTAAAAGATGGTTATGCTGGAGATTCAGCAATCGATAAAAAAATCTCACACTTATACCTGACAAAGCTGTGGCAATCCATACTTTCCCCCCAAACAGGATTTCACTATTGTCAATTTCTCTTATTACTACTGCTAGTATTATTGTGGCCTGAAAGTCCAACTGACAAACAATACTTTTCACTTTAGTGTCACTAAAATATTCAAGGATGTTCTTTTCCCTCCCTGCTCTAAGAACCATGGGTAAGATTTCTGAGAAGGCAACACAGACACCTTTCCTTACGGCTTCTGGCACAAAGGTTCTTCTGAACTTTTCTCCGCTTTCATTGTCTGGAGCAATGAGGCCGATCCACGTCCATCGGAAATGCAGGAGCAACTTGACAATTGCCAAGTGAGGAGGTTCTTGTTTTGGACTCACTCGGTAGAAAAAAGGGAAATGGTGTTTCTGCTCTGGAATGTGGCTGATGACCGCATAGTTGATCTAAGATGAACCAGAAAAGATGGTCGATTGCTTTGCTTCTAAGGAAAAAAAAATAGTGCTTACATATCAGAACTCTCCTCCAGGAAAAGAACTTCCTTTCATTTGTTCTTGTGTTTCTACCATGAAATGTCATCTCAATGTCTGGTATCACTTGCTTGTAAATTCCAGTCATCACATCTTTCTGCCAGAATTAGGGAAGGAGAAATGTGACAATTTTTTTCACATCCTGAGAAGTGCAAGAACAAAGAACAAAACACTAATATACAGCTCAGTTATACATGTCTCAGTAATGCCCAGGGAATGATGGGAAGATATGTGAACTCAGTGGAGAGAAAAAAGTTGGGTGGTTTTTTTAAAAAAAAATCTTTAAGAATAAATACAGAAACACATAATATTGTTCATTTTTTATCTTCTTGACATTTTTGTTTGATTTGTTTCAATTAAGATTGAAAAGATGTTTTTCTCTCCCAGGTCTTGTGACTGCAATGACTGACAGACAAGGAGAAGAGGCAGATGAAGAATTGGCCAAAAGATTGAAAATTTAATGTGCAGGATGGCTGAGATCATTTCACTTGAACAATGAATAAGGATTTGTTCAGCTGCAAAAATGATATCAGAATGAAGAAATAGTTATTTGAATGCCTGATATCATTTCAGGGGTTCTTTAAACTCCATTGCCTCACTAATTTTATTTATTATTTGATATTTTTAGACTATTAGGAGACTTTGCAAAGTATCCATTTATACCTGTGGGATTTTGTAGATGCCCAGCATGGTGGAAATTTGACTAAAGAGATGAGAATCAGTCCCTTCGAGTAGAGGCAACAGATTATTTTGTTTTCCACAACTATAGTTTGGGACATTCACCTGCCCTGCAGAAAGCAAGTCCATCATGACATCGCAAGTTATTCTTGCATTGAAAAAGTTCTCATAAATGCTGTAGCCCAGGGTGATGTTTGGTAACAGCTTTGGATTCTGGTTGATCTCATGAATGGCAAAGAAGAAGGGCAGGACGTGCCAGAAGCTCATACTGGATATACTGCAAGTGAAGAAATTTCATTTTGATTTTTGATTTTTCGTGTTAAATTCATAAAAAAAGCAGATCCCATTTCTGAAGCTGTTCCTATAAAAACATTTATAACAACTCATTTGTATTGCTGTCTCACGATTCTATTGTGTGGAAATCAGTTTTGAATGCATTATCCCCTTATGTATAAAATAATCTGGTTGTCTTCTAGAAGAAGAAAATAGGACAGGATCACATCAGCAGCTCAGTGTCCATATGTAATGCAGGAAATACTGTCAGAAGTTCATTGTTCAATGAAAATAATGTCAGATACATGTATCATTCATTTACAGTGATGGACTTTCCTTGGGTGTTAATATTAGAAGAACAGCTCCACTGACACTGCATTGACACAAGAGGGACCTTCTTTTCCATGCTTTTCTTCAGAGTCAAAGTGATTCCAATTAGAAGTTCTAGACCTGATCCCAACTTTTATTTTCTCTAAATGACTTAGAGGAGCATTCCTACAACAAAACCTATATTATTGTAATCATGGTTCCAATGTCTGAGCAATTGGATGATTTTATTTAAAATTCACATTAGAAAACCACATTCCTATGAAAATACAGTCTTCTTCTTTTTCATCAGAGTTTTTTCTAGGATTTCTTCAATTTCTAATTGTTAAGAATATCTCTATGATTTTTTTCTTGTAAGTACGAGTCCATACTGATGACTTGTACATCTTTAACTTAGTTTTATTTCTTTCAGATTGTTCTCCCACGGTAGCCTATAATGTTTGTCAATTTTGTCTCTCAGCTTGCACAATAAAAAAAAAAGAATTTGCTAGCCATGACAAAGCCTTCTGGGCACTGTTCTATTGCTAAATGTTAAATCCTTAATTTTATACTTCACATTCCAATAATTTATTTTTATTGTTATATTGTTATATATACTTTTCAGACAGTATATTGCTTAGATTAATCTATTTCCATAATTTTCAAAACTAGATGGCTAATGACATAAATGTCAATATTAAAAATTATAGCATAAAAAGATTTTGTACTCATATTAGCCATAAAAATATTAATCATAATACCTTGCAATGGTCCTATAACTAGGTACTATTAATATTCATGTTTTAAATATTGCTTCTCATTGTATATAGGAATTATAATTGTTTCATATGGGAGGATTGTAAGTTTTAATTTTATTGTTAATTTATACTGGTTCAGTAATAGAATCAAATAGTTAAAATAAGGTATTATTTTCATCTCATCAAATCAGCAACAATTTCAATATCAAGACACATATTAATAACAACCACTTGCCAAGAATGGAATTTTTTTTAAACAGCTGGAATGGCCTCTACTACATTCATTTCCCTTTTAAATCAGACAGAAGGTGCTTTCACAGCCTTTAAATCAAACACACCCAGGGCCACTTGTTGTTACTCCTGCCATGGTCCTTGGTTTCTTTTTTTTTAAGGACTTCATTAATTTAAATAAAAAGTAAGCAGGAAGATGGTGTTGCTGCCACACAAAGCAAAATACTAGCCTCAGTTCTTTTTGAGAGATCAATTTGCTCACAAGCCACTTTATGAAAGAAAGCTGAAAGCCAACAGGTGAGGATTGTGGCTTCCTGTCCAGGAAGGAAAAGATGAGAGAGGGAGAGAGGGAGAGAGAGAGAGAGAGAGAGAGAGAGAGAGAGAGAGAGAGAGAGAGAGAGAAAGAGGGATGCATCATCAAGGACATTGAAGAGAATGTGAAAATAAAATGGGAAAGAACTTCACTTTGACCTCAGCTAAGAGGTGATCCAGTAGTTCTCCCTGGCACCACAGAGAGTTATTTTACAAAGAGCCACCCCCATCCCCAATTTAAGTCTTTTCCTTAAAGGAAATGAAGATGGGAAAATGTGACAGAGACCAGGTACCAGGAAATGGAAACCATTGATATTTAAGAAAAACAGGAAAGGAAAAAATTAATCACTAGGCTTATGTATATATCAGGAATTACCTTTGAAATCTATTGTTTGGAGGTTTAAAGAAAACGTATGGTTGAAATATAGTGCTAGTTGTAGATATGATTGCACCAATCAGGAAGTCTCCTGGCTTGTAGTAATTAAATATGTGTTCTTCCTCTTTCTGCACACTCAATGGGCATTTAGTCATCATTGTGCCGCAGGGAAAATGGGACACCAGGAGAAGCAGCAGCAGATTTTCACAGGTCATAATGAAGATCTTCTATTGTCTTTGGTCTCAGAGCTGTTTAAGGACAATTCTCTTGACAAAGAGTCCAGACCAACTGACTTTATAAAGATAAAGATAAAATGAAGTCTGGCACATTACAATAAAATGAGCAAGATTACATTCAGACTTGCACAATCCTGCCTACAGGAGTCTTACCATATGCTCTCCACAGTCCTTGAGGTCCTTGTGGACCAAATTTTTAGATTTTTTTTTAAAGTGTTAATAAGTATTTGTCAGATTTGTTGTTGATGGGTATGAGGAATTTACTTGTGTTCCTAAGAGGGGAAAAAACTCTGTATGACTCATGGGCATAGTTCTAATTTAAGACTTATCAAAACAATACAGTTTAGGTAAGTTATTATTCCCTTTACTCAAGAAAATTATTCTTAATAGAGTAAGAGAATCCGAGAGACATATCTTTGAAAGAAATACAGAAATAAATTGAGTAACTTTTAGCAGGCTAAAAATTCTTTATTGATAGAAAAGAGTATCAGAGTTTCCTGCTGGAAATTAATTGGTCCTCTTTCTTCCCTTATGGAACAGGCAACTCTTTCAGATTTTCTGTTTAATTTAAAACCCCATGGACTGGGATTAGCACATAATATTTTTACATTAACAGTAAGAGGAGGCTGGATTAATTGCAGTAAAGAGGGAATGTGATGACCCAGCGCCCCGAACAATTAGCTGATCAGAACAATTGCCTTTTTAAGCACTGCCAACATTCACCCAACAGCCCCCACATATGCTGGCACAAGTTCAATAAAACAGTCAGGGAAGTTTACACAGTTCTTTAAAGTAAAACAGATAACAAGCAAACGTATAATCCTTTCAACTCCCAGCTTCCTGTGAACTGCAAACTGCAAAACTGCAGACAGCAAGGAGAAATCAGCAGGAAGCAAACTTGGTCCAAAATACAAAGTGTCCAGGTACAAGAGCACACTATCACAAGAGTTCATGTTTGTTCCCAGCAAATGCCCCACCCCACAGCGTCTCCTTAAATCCTATTCCCCAGGTGTGCCTTGTGGAGGGGATCTGGTGGGGAGGGGCCTTACTCCTCACCTGAACGCTGCCTTCCCTGTTCCAAACTTGAAGGGCCCTGGCCTGCTTCAGCCTGCTCCTCCCCACAGTCCTCCAAAGCCACAGACACCCCCTTCTGGGCCTCAACAGGGAGCTCCATGTCGTCCTCAGAGTCAGGCTCGGATGGAGGCATGACAGGGAAAGGGAATGAAAAAGGTATTTGCATGAGCAAATTATTAAGTCAAAGGTTATTGTTCAACAATAATATGAAATGAAAAATAATACACCACACAATACAACCCTCAACATTATTGGCAACAGGTTTTCCTCCCATCTAAAACTTATATTGAACAAACCTTCTTGATAATACCCTCTCTAAATCAGTTTCAGAAATTATGGCATGTTGGTTTTAGTGATATGGCCTGATATGGCTGCCATTCTGCTGATGTGAGCATTTGAAGTGAGTAAAAGGATGAAAAGAAGTTAAATTTTGGACTTTCAGAGCATGCATGTTTTGATGAGAACTGATGAACTGACTTTATTGCTAGCCAGGGTTGGTGTGAGGAGATTTTAGAGACAGCAGTCCCATTGATCCAAACATTTATAAGGTTTAGAGCCCTGGGAGACACTCAGATCCTAAGGTGGTGACATAACCTAAAGATTGCAGAGAGGAGGAGAGGAGAGAATATATCTGTGGATATGTATAGATTGAGTGGAATGGCTGAAGAGAAGTTCGAGATAAAACATAAGTATGCAGAGTATTTGTTGCTTCCTGATTGGGAAGCAAGAAATGTTACTACTTTATCATTGGTGGCTTCTATGAGATTATGAAGTATCTTATCTTCCTGCCCTTCCATGAACTCATTGATCCCTAAATATTACTTATTATATTTCTTATTATCTGGTTCTTTATTGCGCTTTAGTTTCTCTATCATTCTTTTGCCCATCTCCCCCATTCCCCCCCCCCCAAGAATGTCAGTTGTCCCTCTCAGTTATACCCAGGATTATAGCAGGGCTCTGCTACCCCTTTCATTAGAGGAGACAGCCTCTGTATAGGAGGAGAACAGTCAAAACTGCCCAAAAGACAAGATGTCAATATACCAATGGTGCAAAGAGCAAAACTTTAATTACATTCTACCAGCAAAAACTTGCCTTTTAGAATGCCTGGTCAACTTTTAGTGCTTTTCCGGGTATAAAATGAGATGTTAAGGATCTCCAGATTTGGTTGCTTTGGTTACCATTTGGTGTTTTCAATGGTCTTCAGGCAGGGGTTAATGGCCTTTGGTGAAATGGACAACTAAGTAGTTCTGCACTTGTGGCTTTCCTTTCAATGAAATCATCAAAAGTCCACTGCTGTTCACTCTGTTGACCATGACTATTGTGCTAGGTTTGCCACCAACCATATTGTGAAGTTCACAGATGATACAATAGTAGTGGGCCTTATTCAGGATGACAAGGTGGAAACTTATTGCAAGGAGGTTGAGGGGTTGGTGAACTGGTGTTAAAGGAAAACAGCCTAGTTTTAAATACTGGAAAAACCAAAGAGATCATTGTCGATTTCAGAAAAGGCAGGCACAGCCACACTTCTCTGTGCATTAATGATTCACCTGTGGAGATGGTTACCAGCATCAAATTCCTGGGTGTGCAGCTAACGAGCAGGCTGGCTTGGTCGCCCAACAGTGAGAAACTGGTGAAGCGGGCACAGCAGCGCCTGCATTTTCTGCGTTGCGTGTGAAAAGCACATCTTCCTTCCCCTGTGCTGACCACTTTCTACAGGGGGATGATTCAGAGCATCCTTCATACAGCATCACAGTCTAGTTTGGAAGCATCACTACTTCAGACAGGAAGGCAGTGCAGAGGGTGGTGAGAATGGCTGAAAAGATCATTGGCAGTTCCCTCCCTCCAATCCAGGACATAGCACAGAAGTGTTGCTTGAGCAGGGTCTGTAAAGATTATCTGACCTCTTACACATCTCTAATATAGCTTATTATATCAATAATAATTGAGACTTTATGTGAGAGAAAGAGAGAGTTCTTAGAACACATAAAGATTTTATTTCCAACTATCCTATTTTATCTTAACAATAACTTGGGTAACAAATAACTTTCAAAATCAAGAACCCACATTATTTTTCATCATTAGATTCTCCTTAGTGTTCATGTCAGGTCTCAGAATAATGATGTAACATTTGGGGACAAAAATACAGCCCAGTAAACCCAGGCTGGAAGCCAGGATAGAGAAGATTTGCACAGCCACCATGTATTTCCCTTTAGTGCTCAGGTAGGTGGGGATGAAGGAGACCCAAACACTGCAGAAAACCAGCATGCTGAAGGTGATCCACTTGGCTTCATTGAAAGTCCCCGGAAGCTTGCGGGCCAGAAAAGCCACCAAAAAGCAGATGGCAGCCAGAAAGCCCATGTAACCAAGGGCAGTGTAGAACATGGTGATTGAGCCTTCATTACATTGCAGAAGGATTTGTCTTGGTTGAGAATGCAGGTCAGAATGTGGAAATGGGGGAGAGATTCTCAGCCATATAAGGCAGAGGCCCACCTGAACTCCAGAGCAGGACAAGACAATGGAGTTGGCCAGACTTTTCCCCAACCATTTCCTCATCCTGCTGCCTGGCTTTGTGGCCAAAAATGCCACCACCACCATGATAGTCTTGGCCAGCAAGGAGGAGACAGCAACTGAGAAAACCACACTGAAGGTGATTTGTTGAAAAAGGCAGGTCACTTTCTTGGGCCGACCAATGAATAGAAGAGAGGTCAAGAAGGAAAGCAGGAGAGAGACCAGGAGAATGTAGGTGAGATCCCGATTGTTAGCTTTGACTATAGGGGTTTCTCGATATTTAATGAAGATTCCTAGAACTAAGGCAGTGTTTAGAGACAAAAAAAAGGCAATGATAGCCAGAATGAGACCTAACATTTCTTTGTAGGACAGGAAAGTCTCAATTTTGGGGACACACTGATCTCGCTTCTGGTTGGAATGCTGTTCATCTGGACACTTTTCACATTGGGACACATCTGGAAAAAATGAATTGCTATTTCTATCTTTTTTTAAAAGAAAAAAATATTTTTATTACTGGAACAATGATGTATAAAGAAAAACATGCTGTACATTAATTTCTAAGCATGAATAAAGTAGAAAATGCTTATAGAAAAACATTGCCACCATCCTTTCTCTTTATTTGCCAATTGCAGAACTGTCTTTCTAAAAACCGTGCTATGTCCCAAAGTTCTAAATTCTTTGTGTAGTATTTATGGTAGCCATTCTTGCTACTGCTATCATACATACTTTAGATATCATGAATTTTCCCATTCCAGAAAATTGTCCAATCTTATCTCCCAATGTGACATCACTGAAAAAAATGTGTCTTTCCAATTTTGGAGAATTATACCTCAAAAGAACATTTGGGATTTCAGGTCAATATTTATGTTTAGTTTTTTTTCTGAATGTTGTAATGCATTTTGTTCTCTGAATTTTGAGTTTGTTTGCATCACTACCACACATGGTAAAATATTCCTTTTTGTTATGGGATTTCCTACATCTATTTTTCTATGATTTGTTTGTTTTATCAATTGTTGATATAATTGTATACTGTCTGTAAAACATTTCCCCTTATAGTATAACCTGGAGTGAATTTTCTGTATTTTTCTTTTCCAAAGCTGTTTTTTTTTTGTACTGCAATTCTTTATTTGATATTTTGTATCCATTCTATTGTACAGTTATTTCTTTGTTCCATCTCCATGTCCTATTTCAAAAAACTATTTATATATGCCTCTTAATAGTTGAACTTGGCTTTGTATACCTATTTCTGTCATCTCTCAAGATTTCTCCATCTTTGTCAATATTACTTTTTACTGTTTCAGCAGTTTCGGAAAACATCCAACCTGGTAAAATGCTACTTTTATTGAATACGGAACACTGCTGTGTCTTGATTCTTTTCCTGAGTGTGGATGAGGCACACTGGCATAGGAGATTAAATCTTGGTTACTATATTTGTCCGTAGAATAAAAGGCTGATACTCCTTTTTTGTCCTTAAGCCACCTACCTTCCTGTGTGGAGATTGTTCCTTCCATACATGGAGAGCAGTCATAGCAGCACACTGGTTTTCCTTCTCTTGTGAGCTTGGTATATCCTGTTAGGCAATTTTTAGTACATCTAGAAAAAGGGGTCTTCTAAACAAAAAGAAAATTATGGAAATATATGGATTAGGGAATTCCTTCTATAAGTGGAAGTCAGTGCCAAGATACTGTAGGTTCATGAACTCAGAAGATACTTTCAAGATTTTTTCCAAATATAATAAAATTATTTTTGTTTGGGTGATTTCAGCAGCATATCCCAGAGTCCTTTCAATATTCAGTAAAGACTGATGACTCTCCTGTCCAAACATCTTTAGCCTTCTGTATGTTTGGGGGGGGTTTTTGCCAGTGAGAGGCAACATGCATTTGGATTTCATATCCCATCAATTTTGTTTTGAATTAGATTTAGGTAGGAAAAATGCAAATAGATAGGTACAAAATAAGTAGTACCTTGCTCACAGAAGTAACTATGAGAGAGATCTGGATGTGCAGTAGTCCCCAACTTTTGCAGCTTAGTGGCCCAGCTGTGGGGTGGGGGAGGGGAACTGGGCTGCATGTATGACATGTGTGCAGCTCGACTTGTGTAAGCAGTGGGCTGTCATGTGCTCCAGCCACTTGCCTGGCCCAATTCTGAATAGGCCATGGCCTAGTAGTGGGGCCATGGCCTGGGGGGGCACAATTGGAATACTAGAAAGTGTGCATAGAAGACATGATAAAGAGTATGGAGGCCAAATTATATAATGAACAGTTGAGGGAACTAGATATATATCTAACTCACAAAGAGAAGGATAAGGAGGGACAATGACCCCCAATATTTGAGGGTTGATCAGAAAGAAGAGGGAATTAGATTTATTCTCCAAAGCACCAGAGAGCAGGACAAGAAGTAATGGGTGGAAGCTTGTTAAAGAGAGGTCCAGCCTAGAAGTAAGGAGAAATTTCTGACAGTGAGAACAATTAATCAATGGACTAGCTTGCCTCATGTAGTTGTGGGTGCTCTATCATTGGAGATTTTGAAAAATAGACTGGACAACTATTTGACTGAGATGACATAAGATTTTCTGCCTTGAACAGGGGGTTGGAATAGAAGATCTCTGTCGTCCCTTCCAGCCCTATGATTTTATGTTCTATGAATTGCCATGTCTTTGCTTTCTTCCATCATGTATCTCTTGGATCTCAATTTACTTACTAACTCAGTCTCAAAGAAAACTGGTCTGAACAAAAAAGCAAGATAACACCTGTCAGATCTTGATGAATAAAAATCACAGGGACTTGATGGATTATATCCCAGAGTTCTGAAGGAGCTGGCAGATGCCATCTCAGAACCATTGTACTATATCTTTCAAAACTCCTGGAGCACTGGGAAATACCAGTGAGCTGATGTGGTTCCCATCTTCAAAAAAGGAGAAAAAACAGACCCAGGAAACTACAGACCAACCAGACCTAACATCAATACCAAAGATGCTGGAAAACATAATAAAAAACAGATCTGTGAACATCTAGAAACAAATAAAGGTATAACTAATAGTCAGCATGGGTTTGTTAAAAACAGATCATGTCAAACCAATCTTATTTCATTCTTTGACAAAGTGATTGAATTATTAGACTGGTGAAATGCTGTGGACATAGTATATACTTCAGCAAGGCATTCAATGAAATAGACCAGAAGTTACTTCTTGATAAGCTAGAAAAATGTGCGATAGACAGCAACACCACCAGATGGATTTGTAACTGGCTGACAAATTGTACTCAATGAGTCATCCTTAATGGTACTACATCTACATGGAGGGAAGTAAGCAGTGGAGTACCACAAGTTTCTGTCTTAGGCCCAGCACTCTTCAATATCTTCATAAATGACTTAGATGAGGGAATAAAAGGGGATCTCATCAAATTTTGCAGATGACACTAAGATGGCAGGACTAGCCAACACCCCAGAAAACAAGCTCAGGATCCAAAAGAATCTTGGCAGACTTGAACAATAGGCCCTATCCAACAAAATGAAATTTAATGTGGTGAAAAGCAATGTTTTATATATAGACAGGAAAAACCAAATGTACAAGTACAGATTAGGCAAAACCTGGTTCAAAAACAGTAACTGTGAGAGGGACCTTGGAGTCCTAGTGGACGATCAACTAAATATGAGCCAGCAGTGTGCAGCAGTAGCCAAAAAAGCTAATACAATCCTTGGTTGTATAAACAGAGCCATAGAATCAAAATCATGTGAAGTATTAGTACCGCTTTATAAAACTTTAGTAAGACCATACCTGGAATACTACATCTAATTTTGGTAACCACATTACAAAAAAGATGTTTAGATTTTGGAAAAGGTGCAGAGAAGAGCAGCTAAGAAGATTAAAGGCTTGGAGAGTGAAATATTAGAACAACTGTTGTAAGGATTGGGTATAGCTAGTCTGGAGAAGAAAAGGAGTGGGGGTGACATGAGTGGTTTGCCACAAAGAAGAGAGGGTCAACATATTTTCCAAAGCATCAAAGAGCAGGGTAAGAAACTCATCAAGGAGAAAAGCAACCTGGAGGTTTTGAAAAAGAGACTGGATATTCATTTATCTGAAATGGTATAGGGTCACCTACTTGAGCAGGGGGATGGACAGCAAGACCTCCAAGGACCCTTCCAGCTCTACTTTGAATTTGTAATTTGAACAAGATAAGATAGATAACCTTTATTGTCATTTTTTACTGTGGGCAAACAGGCACACATAAAAATGAAATTCTGTTGCCTGCTCTCAAAAGTGTACACATACCTAACTCACATATAAACATACTATATACAACATATGTATATACTTACACCCATATATATACTTATAAATATTAATCATTGTTAATCAATAATCATTACTCAAGCATTGAGTGAGATCCAGTAGAATAAATATGTGTAGCTCAGGGTTGAACTGTGGAGTACTTGGTGTACTCTGAACATGGTTGTTTGCTTGCAGACATTTGACTATGCTATCATCAGGCACTGATAATGTTATCAAGCAGCAGCTGTGAGAGAGATCTTGGAGTCTTAGCGGACAATCAATTAAATATGACCCAACAGTGTGCAGCGGCAACCAAAAAAAGCCAGTGCAGTCCTAAGTTGCATTAACAGAGGGATTCAGTCAAGATCTCATGAGGTACTAATACCATTCCATAAAGCCTCAGTAAGACCACACCTAGAATACTGTATCCAGTTTTGGTCTCCACACTATAAATAAGATGTTGAGACTCTAGAAAAAGTGCAGATAAGAGCAACAAAGATGATTGGGGGACTGGAGGCTAAAACATATGAAGAATGGCTAGAGGGACTGGGCATGGTTAATCTAGTGAAGAGAAGGACCAGGGAGACATGATAACAGTGTTCCAATATTTGAGGGGCTGTCACAGAGATGAGGGGATCAGCCTGTTTTCCAAAGCACCTGAAAGCCAGACAAGGAAGAACGGATGGAAGCTGATCAAGGAGAGATTCAAACTAGAGATAATGAGATATTTTCTTGACAGTGAGAACAATCAACCAATGGAACAGATTGCCTTCAGATGTTGTGGGAGTTTCATCACTGGAAACTTTCAAGAAGAGACTGGACTGCCATCTGTCAGAAATGGTGTAGGGACTCCTGCTTGGGTGGGGGGTTGGTCTAGCTGGCCTACAAGGTCCCTTCCAATTCTATTATTCTGATTCTAATTAAATATCTGTAAGCAACTAGGCTCAATGAGCATTAAGGACTACCCTGAGTTAGATGCCCTGAAGTAAGTCACTCAGGGTCTAAGGGTTTGTGGTGGTTCCTTAGCTTCCTTACATGGAACAAACATCATTGGACTACCAACATGCTTTCCATCCTACCCTAGTACAACGCTGGTGTTTCTATAGATAGCAATCCAGGAGAGATCCAGGAGAAATAGTAGTGTCTCCTTCAACCCATTTTTTTCATTAGCATAAAGCCTCCATCAGAGTAAGAAGATTAGTAAACTACAAAAGCAGATGGCTATGTAGGAATGGATGAATTACAATACCCACAAACAGGCAGACTTGCTTACCCAGTTAAAGGATGTTGGCCATATGATGACACTCTCATCGATAGAGAACTTGATATCTGAAGAGACTTTTTCAATATCCCCTATTTTCACTCCAGCAGAAGACTTGTTAGGAAATACTGCCCAGTCCATAATATCAAAGTCAGCAACAGGAATTCCAGTCTCATCCAAATAAACATCATCCACAGAAAAATTGTAAATCTCTAAGTTTCTTAGAAAAGGATGGAGCTGAAAAGACATAGAGAATCACCCATGCCATGTATACGTTCTCTTTTGAGCCCTAAGTCAGAAGTGGGATATTCAACTCAATGCCTCTGTCTGAAAATGTGACAAGAACATTATTCTCTTCCTTACTCCGTTCTTCCCTGTATCTCTCTTTCTCTCTCATACATAAACACATATACATAAACATTTTCTGTTCATTATTTTCATCTACTCTGTTTTGTGAAATTTCTAATCTCAGATCAGAAATAAATTTTAACTGCAGCAACCTCACCCTATTTCTAGGGTTGTTTACCCACCTCTTATGTTGATCTCCCACCACTCTGGACTTCTTGAAGGGTATCAAAACTCAGTTTTTTTAATTTGCCTGGATCCTCAAAGGGGGCCCTCACTACTGGAGGTGTTTGCCAAGGTAAGAAGATATCATCCCTGTGTTGTCCATCTCCTTGGCTCTTGTTTTTTTTAAATAGTTTTTAAAATTTTAATTGTTTTTCTGTTTATCTTTTCACTGTTTGTAAGACACCAAGAGTGGCTCTATCAGTAAGAGGGGTGGCATATAAATTTAATAAATAAGTAATAAATAATGTTGTATGTAGTATTTTATGTAACCAACAAGTGATGATCGAAAGTGAAAAGACTGGGAGAAATGACAGGGCTCCAGATTCTACGATTTAATTTTCAAAGGAGAAAGAGAGATAAAAGGATCCTGGGAGCCTGCAAATGCAGAAGAAAATTGCCAGGTTATGTGACCAGGAAGTGGTAATGAGAAGCAAGTCAGCTGAGTGCTTGTTTTCTGAAAATGCTGAGAAGAAGAAAGACATGGCAGGACAGGAAATACATCACACCAATGTTGGTTACTTATTTATTTTGCAAATATATGAAAACTCTCTCTTGTCTCTCTTAAGACAATATGTATTCTTACAAGCATCTTGAACCAGCACACCTGGTTTAGTCAAGAAGATTCAACAGCAGAATCTGTCTCTTTCTCTCTAAGCTTCCAGAACTGGTCAGAAGAAGTATTAGAAACTGCCACTTGTTATTGGAATTCCCGCATCATCATCCATTCCTGCTTATCTTTAACTTAACAGTTAAGAATTGAAAGGAAACCATTAGAGGAATTTTGTAGTAGAAGTCTTACCTGCCATGGCTGTACAATCTGGAATGTCTTAACATCCCCAACAGGCAGCTTCCTCTTACTCATTTGGGAGGAAAAGGCAGCACTGAGGATCCTGGCCACAACCTGGATTGTTGTGGAAATACTGGAGCCATCCTCAGACAGGATTCTTTCAACCAGATCCTGGGGTGGGATTTCCCAGGTCTCTTTTTCCAGGCATGTATTCCAAACTTTCTTAGACAACAAAGGACTTGAATAAGAACACTGAAATGCTGCCTCCCCAAACTGCGTAGTAGCAGAGTAATCTGAATTAAAATCATAATACTGGGTCGTTTTTTTTGTCTGACTTGAGAAGGATAGTAAAAGATGGTTATGCTGGAGATTAAGCAACCGATAAAAAAGTCTCACGCTTATACCTGACAAAGCTGTGGCAATCCATACTTTTCCCCCAAACAGGATTTCACTACTGTCAATTTCTCGTATTACTACTGCTAATATTATTGTGGCCTGAAAGTCCAACTGACAAACAATACTTTTCACTTTAGTGTCAGTAAAATATTCAAAGATGTTCTTTTTCCCCACTGCTCTAATAACCATGGGTAAGATTTCTGAGAAGGCAACACAGACACCTTTCCTTACGGCTTCTGGCACAAAGGTTCTTCTGAACTTTTCTCCGCTTTCATTGTCCAGAGCAGTGAGGCCGATCCATGTCCATCGGAAATGCAGGAGCAACTTGACAATTGCCAAGTGAGGAGGTTCTTGTTTTGGACTCACTCGATAGAAAAAAGGGAAATGGTGTTTCTGCTCTGGAATGTGGCTGATGACCGCATAGTTGATCTAAGATGAACCAGAAAAGATGGTTGATTGCTTTGCTTCTAAGGAAAAAAAAATAGTGCTTACATATCAGAGCTGTTCCTCCAGGAAAAGAACTTCCTTTCATCTGTTTTTGAGTTTCTACCATGAAATGTCATCTCAATGTCTGGTATCACTTGCCTGTAAACTCCAGTCATCACATCCTTCTGCCAGAATTACGGAAGGACAAATGTAACGATTTTTTTCACATCATGAGCAGTACAAGAATAAAGAACAAAACTCTAATATACAGCTCAGTTATACATGTCTCAGTAATGCCCAGGGAATGATGGGAAGATATGTGAACTCAGCGGAGCGAAAACAGTTGGGTGGTTTTTTTAAAAAATTCTTTAAGAATAAATAGGAAAACACATAATATTTTTATTTTTTTCTTCCAGTATGGTCCTTGACATTTTCTTTTGATTTGTTTCAATTAAGATTGGAAGATCTTTTTCTCTCCCAGGTCTTGTGACTGCAATGACTGACAGACAGGGAGAAGAGGCAGATGAAGAATTGGCCAAGAGATTGAAAATTTATTGTGCAGGATGGTTGAGATCATTTCAGTTGAACAATGGATAAGGATTTGTTCAGCTGCCAAAATGATATCAGAATGAAGAAATAGTTATTTGAATGCTTGATATCATTTTAGGGGTTCTTTAAACTCCATTGCCTCACTAATTTTATTTATTATCTGATATTTTTGGACTATTAGGAGACTTTGCAAAGTATTCATTTATACCTGTGGGATTTTGTAGATGCCCAGCATGGTGGAAATTTGATTAAAGAGATGAGAATCGGTCCCTTCGAGTAGAGGCAACAGATTATTTTGTTTTCCACAACTATAGTTTGGGACATTCTCCTGCCCTGCAGAAAGCAAGTCCATCATGACATCGCAAGTTATCTTTGCACTGAAAAAGTTCTCATAGATGCTGTAGCCCAGGGTGATGTTTGGTAACAGCTTTGGATTCTGGTTGATCTCATGAATGGCAAAGAAGAAGGGCAGGACGTGCCAGAAGCTCATACTGGATATACTGCAAGTGAAGAAATTTCATTTTGATTTTTGATTTTTCATGTTAAATTCAAAAAAAATCCAGATCCCATTTCTGAAGCTGTTCCTATAAAAACATTTATAACAACTCATTTGTATTGCTGTCTCATGATTCTATTGTGTGGAAACTTCAGAAATCTACAATCTGAAATCAGTTTTGAATGCATTATCCCCTTATGTATAAAATAATCTGGTTGTCTTCTAGAAGAAGAAAATAGGACAGGATCACATCAGCAGCTCAGTGTCCATATGTAATGCAGGAAATATTGTCAGAGGTTCGTTGTTCAATGAAAATAATGTCAGATACCTGTATCATTCATTTACAGTGATGGACTTTCCTTGGGTGTTAATATTAGAAGAACAGCTCCACTGACACTGCATTGACACAAGAGGGACCTTCTTTTCCATGCTTTTCTTCAGAGTCAAAGTGATCCCAATTAGAAGTTCTAGACCTGATCCCAACTTTTATTTTCTCTAAATGACTTAGAGGAGCATTCCTACAACAAAACCTATATTATTGTAATCATGGTTCCAATGTCTGAGCAATTGGATGATTTTATTTAAAATTCACATTAGAAAACCACATTCCTATGAAAATATAGTTTTCTTCCTTTTTCTTAAGAGTTTCTTGTAGGATTTCTTCAATTTCTAATTGTTAAGAATATCTCTATGATTTTTTCCCGGTAAGTACGAGCCCGTTCTGATGACTTGTATATCTTTAATTTAGGTTTATTTAGGTGTATATCTTTAATTTAGGTTTATTTCTTTCAGGTTGTTCTCCCACGGTAGCCTATAATGTTTGTCAATTTTGTTTGCACAATTAAAAAAATAAACCAAGAATTTGCCAGCCATGACAAAGCCTCCCCCTGCACTGTTCTATTGCTAAATGTTAAATCCTTAATTTTATACTACACATTCCTTTGCCATAAAATAATTCAGTTTTATTTTTATACTGTTATGTATACTTTTCAGACAGTATATTGCTTAGAATAATCTATTTCCATAATTTTCAAAAATAGATGGCTAATGAGATATATTTTGTACTCATATTAGCTATAACAAATATTAATCATAATACCTTGCAATGGTTCTATAATTAGGTACTATTAATATTCATGTCTTAAATATTGCTTCTCATTATATATAGGAATTAATTGTTTCATATGGAAGGATTGTAAGTTTTAATTTTATTGTTAAATTATGCTGGTTCAGTAATAGAATCAAATTACTAAAATAAGGTATTATTTTCACCTCATCAAATCAGCAACAATTTCAGTATCAATACACATATTAATAACAACCACTTGCCAGAAATGGGATTTTTTTTAAACAGCTGGAATGGCCTCTACTACATTCATTTCCCTTTTAAATCAGATGGAAGGTGCTTTCACAGCCTTTAAATCAAACACACCCAGGGCCACCTGTTGTTACTCCTGCCATGGTCCTAGGTTTCTTTTTTTTAAGGACTTCATTAATTTAAATAAAAAATAAGCAGGAAGATGGTGTTGCTGCCACACAAAGCAAAATACTAGCCTCAGTTCTTTTTGAGAGATCAAGTTGCTCACAAGCCACTTTATGAAAGAAAGCTGAAAACCAATAGGTGAAGATTGTGGCTTCTTGTCCAGGAAGGAAAAGATGAGAGATAAAAGAGAGAGAGAGAGAGAGAGAGAGAGAGAGAGAGAGAGAGAGAGAGAGAGATGGGTAGATGGATGGATAGATGGATGGATGGAGAGACAGACAGGTAGAAAGAGGGATGCATCATCAAGGACATTGAAGATGGGAAACACTTTGACCTCAGCTAAGAGGTGATCCAGTAGTTCTCCCTGGCATCACAGAGAGTTATTTTACAAAGAGCCACCCCCATCCCCATTTTAAGTCTTTTCCTTAAAGGAAATGAAGATGGGAAAATGTGACAGAGACCAGGTACCAGGAAATGGAAACCATTGATATTTAAGAAAAACAGGAAAGGAAAAAATTAATCACTAGGCTTACGTATATATCAGGAATTACCTTTCAAATCTGTTGTTTGGAGGTTTAAAGAAAACATATGGTTGAAATATAGTGCTAGTTGTAGATATGATTGCACCAATCAGGAAGTCTCCTGGCTTGTAGTAATTAAATATGTGTTCTTCCTCTTTTTGAACACTCAATGGGCATTTGGTCATCATTGTGTCGCAGGGAAAATGGGACACCAGGAGAAGCAGCAGCAGATTTTCACAGGTCATAATGGAGATCTTCTATTGTCTTTGGTCTCAGAGCTGTTTAAGGACAATTCTCTTGACAAAGAGTCCAGACCGACTGACTTTATAAAGATAAAGATAAAATGAAGTCTGGCACATTACAATAAAATGAGCAAGATTACATTCAGACTTGCACAATCCTGCCTACAAGCATCTTACCATATGCTCTCCATAGTCCTTAAGGTCCTTGTGGACCAAATTTTTAGATTTTTTTAAAAAAAAGTGTTAATAAGTATTTGTCAAATTTGTTGTTGATGGGTAGGTGTGTATGAAGGATTTACTGGTGTTCCTAAGAGGGGAAGAAAACTCTGTATGACTCATGGGCATAGTTCTAATTTAAGACTTATCAAAATAATACAATTCAGGTAAGTTATTATTCCCTTTACTCAAGAAACCTATTCTTAGTAGAGTAACAGAATCCAAGAGACATATCTTTGAAAGAAATACAGAAATAAATTGAGTCGACTTTTAGCAAGCTAAAAAAATTTTATTGATAGAAAAGAGTATCAGAGTTTCCTGCTGGAAATGAGTTGGTCTTCTTTCTTCCCTTATGGAATAGGCAATCTTTCAGATTTTCTGTTTAATTCAAAACACCATGAACTACGATTAGCACATAATATTTTTACATTAACAGTAAGAAGAGTCTGGATTATCTGCAAATAAGAGGGAAAGGAAATGAAAAAACTATTTTATGAGCAAATTATTAAGTCAAAGGTTATTGTTCAACAATAATATGAAATGAAAAATAACACATCACACAGCACAAACCTCAACATTATTGGCAACAGATTTTCCTCCCATCTAAAACTGATATTGAACAAGCCTCCTTGATAATACCCTCTCTAAATCAGTTTCAGAAATTATGCCATTTTGGTTTTAGTGATATGGCCTGATATGGCTGCTGTTCTACTGCTGTGAGCCTTTGAAAGTGAGTAAAAGGATGAAAAGAAGTTACATTTTGGACTATTAGAGCAGGTATGCTTTGATGAGAGCTGATGAACTGACTTTATTGCTAGCCAGGGTTGGCTGAGGAGTTTTTAGAGACAGCAGTCCCATTGATCCAACCTTTTATAAACATATTAAGATTTAGAGCCCTGGGAGACACTCAGATCCTAAGATGGTGACCTAACCTAAAAATTGGAGAGAGGAGGAGAGGAGAGAATATATCTGTGGATATGTATAGATTGAGTGGAATGGCTGAAGAGAAGTTCGAGATAAAACATAAGTGTGGTCCCAAAGTGGGAAACTTACTACCAAGTAGCGGGATTACTTTGGATTAGGGATTGGATAAACGTAGAAAATAAAAGGGTTTTAACAATTGAAGGGCATGATTTACAGGCTGGTTGGTATGCCTTTCTATGGGGAAAATATAAGAAGTCACACACATATTTTTACTGGCACCAGATAAGAGATGTGCTGATTTGGATGTGGGAAAAGGTTAAAAAGAAATATTATACAAAAATACCAAATTGGGCCTCACCGATGGAGGCAATGATCCACCCAAATACACTGGACAACAAAAAAATGACAAGATACAAAGAACTATTAGATAATCAAGGAAAGCTCAGATCAAGGGAGGAATTAAAAGAACAGGGAAAAATTATTGATTGGTGGCCATACTTACAGATACAATCAAAATATAGCAAAGATATGGAAGAATATGGAATAAGTCGGATACCACAGCAATTGGACAAAATATTGACAGGTAAGGAAGGAAAATTTTTAACAAAAACCTACAAACATTTATTAGAAGTAGAATTAGAAGAAGAAATAGTAAAAGGTCCAATGATAGCATGGGCAAGGAATATAGGTAGAAATATAGACTTAGAAGAATGGGAAAGAGTATGGAACATAAATTGCAAACTAACACTGTCAACTGCATATAAAGAAAACCAATATAAAATGTTCTATAGATGGCATTTAACACCGGCGAGATTGGCCAAGATATATAAAAAGATGAATCCGGACTGTTGGAAATGCAAAAACAAAGAGGGAACAGTCTATCAAATGTGGTGGCAATGCCCCAAAGCAAAGATTTATTGGGAGCAGATAAGGAGATGGATACAGGAAATAACAAAAGAATGAATCAAACTTAAACCTGAATTATTCTTATTAGGTATAATTAACCCAAATATGAAAAAACAACTTCAACACATCATTGTACATATAATAACAGCGGCACACATTGCATATGCACAATGCTGGAAAGGGGAAAAAATACCAACAAATGATATGATTATTTACAAGATACTAGAATGTGCTGAGATGTACAAACTTACTCTGGAAATCAAAGACAAAGAAGCTACAGAATTTTATGAAATATGGGACAAGTGTTACAATTGGTTAGAATTGAGGAATAAAAAAGTATGAGAAGTGATGTAAATAATTGTAAATAAATGTAAGGGATATAAGGCACAGTACTGTTAAGGAAAAAATGTATTTTGTATTTTGTTTTTGTAAAGTGAAAAAGGGAAAAGGGGAAAAATAAAATTAAAAAAAAAACAAAAAACATAAGTGTGCAGACTATTTGTTGGTTTCTGGTTCGGAAGGGAGAAATGTTACCACTTTAGTTATATTTATCAGTCATAGCTTAAATCATATAAGACAGAAAGAAAGAGCTCTTAGAATAATTAAAAAAAATAAAGCACCAACGTCAGAAGCCATCATGGTTTCTCATCATTAGATGCACTTTTCTGTTCATGTGAGGTCTCAAAATGATGATGTAGCATTTAGGCGCAAAGATGCAGCACAATAAGCCCAGGCTGGAAGCTAGAATAGAGAAGATCTGCACAGCCACCATGTATTTCCCTTTAGTGCTCGGTAGGTAGGGACAAAGGATACCCAACGCTGCAGAACACCAGCATGCTGAAGGTGATCCACTTTGCTTCATTGAAATTCCCTGGTAGTTTGCGGGATATAAAAGCCACCCAAAAGCAGATGGCAGCCAGAAAGCCCAGATACCCAAGGGCAGAGTAGAACATGGTGACTGAACCTTCATTACATTGCAGCAAGATCTATCCTGATTGGGAATGCAGATCAAAATCTGGGAAGGGAGGAGAGATTCCCAGCCACATCATGCAGATGCCCACCTGAACCCCAGAACCAGATAAGACAATGGAGTTGGACAGACTTTTCCCCAACCATTTCCTCATCCTGCTGCTTGGTTTTATAGCCAGAAATGCCACCACCACAGTGATAGTCTTAGCCAGCAAAGAAGAAATGGCAACTGAGAAAACAACACTGAAGGTGACTTGTCGAAGAAGACAGGTCACTTTCTTCGGGTGACCAATGAATAGAAGGGAAGTCAAGAAGGAAAGTATGAGAGAGACCAGGAGAATGTAAGTGAGGTCCTGATTATTGGCTTTCACAATGGGAGTTTCTTGGTATTTAATGAAGATGATCAGAACCAAGGCAGTAGTTAGAGACAAAAAAGAGGCAGTAAGTGCCAAAATGATTCCCAAGCTTTCTTGGTAGGACAGGGAAGTTAATGTTTTGGGGACACATTGATCTTGCTTCTTATTGGGATGCTGGTCATCCAGACACTTTTCACAGTGGGCTGCCTCTGAAAAACACAAAACAAAATTCCTATAAAACTGTGTTTGCCACACTGTCTACTGATTTCCTAAACTATTTGCTGTTTTTCCTTGAATAAAAATTGCTTTACTAATTACTGGTAATTCTCAGTCTCAGTCATGGTCATACACAGCCCCAGCACAGCCCCTGGATTCTGGGGCTTGAAAGATAAGCAAGATCAGGTTTGTGTGGACTTGTATAGGGCTCCTTTCTTACTTCTGAGCTTCCTTTCTTCCTTCCTTCCTTCCTTCCTTCCTTCCTTCCTTCCTTCCTTCCTTATTTAAAAATAAAATATTGAGCATATTTAATAACATATTTTGTGACACATAAACTGCTAATTTGTAGCAGTTTGTGTCTGTCAATTGTCCAGTTGGTATTTCCAGAAAAAGAAACTCCTGGGTTATTATTTTACCAAAAGTATAATATTTTATTGAAAATCTACATTGGCACAGAAGATGCAAAACCAGCTCTGATTTCTCACGCAAAACACAAGCATAGTTATTTCCTCATTTCCCTCTGATCAACCCACAGCCCGATACGTTCACCAATCATTTATGTTCATTTTGTTATGAGAAAATAGCCACACTCGGTGTCCTTGCAAACTTACAAAGACGCCTTGGTTGCCTAGATACCATCCCTCCCATCTTTACGTTCCATTCCACAATCTCTTTCCTTTTTCTCAAGCTATGAATAAAGGGGAAAATGTAAGTGAAAGGGTGAATCAGTGTCAACAGTGTCCTTCAGGACATGCAGCCTTTGACAGACTTGATAGAACTTGGGAGCTAAGCAGAATCTGACTTGGTATGGGCCTTCTTGCTATTGCACCACCTACCTTCCTGGGTAGAGATTGTTCCTTCCATACATGGAGAACAGTCATAGCAGCAGACTGGTGCTCCCTCTCACTTAAGTTTCTTGTATCCTGGGAGACAACTAGAAGTGCATCTAGAAAACGGCACTTTCTAAAAAAGAAAATCCAGGGTAATCTATTTTAAGAAGATTATCTCTGTACATGGAAATTAGTTACAGACTAGGTTCAGAAATAGGATCAAACCATTTTTTAACATTAATTTGTATAATATGATTCATAAATTGTGCAAATTCACAACCATTGCCTACTTTCATAAAATATTTTGAATGGAAAGTAACCAAATCTCAGGATGGCTTTGTGGGATGGATGAAGCCAGCCACTGAGATAAATTATGTTTCTGGGAGTCTTGTCTCCATTTTAACAAGAGGATATAATATGACCACAAGAGGTTGCCCTCCAGATGCTTGTAGTCATTAAGAATGTTTGAAGATCTTTCAAGTACTTTCAGGTTTTTAACTGAACGTGCTAAAGCAGAGGCCTCCAACCT